ATTTTCCAGTTATATGCACAGATATCAATCCAAGTTTCATTAAACATGAAGATAGTGTCTTTCTAATCTAATATCAAAAAACAAAAACAAAAACAAAACAAAAGAGGGGCACCTGGGTGGCTCAGTGGGTTAAAGCCCCTGCCTTCAGCTCAGGTTGTGATCCCAGGGTCCTGGGATTGAGCCCCACATCGGGTTCCCTGCTAAACCAGAAGCCTGCTTCTCTCCCTCTCCCACTTGTGTCCACTGCTTGTGTCCCCTCTCTTGCTGTGTTTCTCTCTGTCATATAAATAAATAAAATCCTCCCCTGGGGCAAAGAATACATTATATGTTAATAAAAATAAAAAAATTTTAAAAATTAAATATTCTCAACAACACTAAATAAATAAATAAATAAATAAATACAATCTTTTAAAAAAAAATGCATGTAAGCCATATATATGAGAATGAAATTAACACCAACACATATTAGAACATTTTAAACTCAGGGCACCTTTAATTTCACCTTCAAAAACTAAGAAGTTAATCACAGTAAATAAAGATTATCATTATTTTTAAGGAGGTATTTTGACTGAAGGCCTACATTTGTCATCTAATATAGGTTGAAGCTATTCAAAGGAGATTTGACAATACACCTGATTGTAGAGAAGATGGGCAGTAAAGGAATATTTGAAACCCAGAGAGCTACTTTTTAGTACCAACTTACTCACTCATCAACAACCTATGCCATCTGTAAGGCAGTATTTGGGACACCAGGATCAGGCTGCCGTAGTGTCCATATTTACAGAAGTGAAAACAATGGGAAAGACCTATGAAGATAATTAACTCATCAGGGGCACCTGGCTAGCTCAGAGAGTAGTACATGTGACTCTTGATCTCAGGGCTGCTGGGTTTAGAGATTACTTAAAAATAAAATCTTAAAAAAAAAAAAAAAGATAACTCATCAAATCGTCAACCAAAACATTTTCCACAAAGGAACCAAAACGTGGTAGCAGAGTGAGAAGCGAAAGATTTGGAGCCAAGATGTAAGCTAGCTTTTCTAAGGCTCTATAAGGGGTGCTAAGCAAATCACCTTTTGACTCTTTTTTTTTAAGATTTAAAAAAAAATTTTTATTTATTTGACAGAAAGAGAGATCACAAGCAGGCAGAGAGGCAGGCAGAGAGAGAGAGGGAAGCAGGCTCCCCGCAAGCAGACAGCCCTACGCGGGGCTGGATCCTGGGATGCAGGGCTCAATCCCAGGACTCTAAGATCATGACCCGAGCGAAAGGCAGAGGCTTAACCCACTAGGCCACCCAGGTGCCCCACACCTTTTGACTCTTAACTACAGGAAAGAAACTGAGGGCTGCTGGAGGGGAGGTAGGTGGGGTATGGGGTAACTGGGTGACAGGCATGAAGGACAGCGTGTCATGTGATGAGCACTGGGTGTTATATGGAACTGATGAATTCCTGAATGCTACTGAAACTAATCTGAAACTAATGATGTATTTTATGTTGGCGAACTGAATTTAAATTAAAAAAAAAAAAAAAAAGCAGCACCTTTTAAAAAAGTTTCCATTCTTGAGGATGCTTGGCTGGCTCACTCAGTGGAGCTTATGACTCTTGATCTCAGGGTTGTGAGTTCAAGCCCCACGCTGGGTGTAGAAATTACTGAAAAGTAAAATCTTAGGAAGAAAAATTGCCACTCCTTGGCTAAAATCAAAAAACACATGAAGCAAGTGTTGGCAAGGATGTGGAGAAAGGGGAAGCCTCATGGTGGGAGTGTAAACTGGTGTGGCGACTCTGTAAAACAGTATAGAGGTTCCTCAAAAAGTTAAAAATAGAACTACCCTATGATTCAGCAATTGCATTACTAGCTATCTATCCAAAGAATACAAAGTCAAAGGGATACATGCACCTTGACGTTTATAGCAGCATTATCTATAGTAGCCAAATTATGGAAACAGCTCAAGTGTCCATCGATTGAGAAATGGATACACACACACACTCACACACACACACACACACACACACACACACACACACACAATATGGAATATAATTCCTCCATAAAAAGAAAGAAACCTTGCCATGTGCAACGACCAACACAGAGCTAGAGTATAATGTTAAGTGAAAGAACTCAGTCTGAGAAAGACAAAGATGATGTGATTTCACTCGTATGTGGAATTTAAGAAACAGAACAAAGGGGGAAAAAAGAGAGAGACAAACCAAGGAACAGACTCTTAACTGTAGAGAGCAAACTGATGATTATCAGAGGGGGGATGCAGGGTATCAGATAGATGAAATAGTTGATGGGGATTACTGGTGATAAGCACTAGTAATGTATGCAAGTGTTGAGTCCCTATATTGTACACCTGAACCTGCTAATTCACTGTATGTTAACTGGAAATAAAATAAAACTTTAAAAACACCTTCCTAATGAGCAAAAAGAACATGAAAACAGTCCCTGTTCATTCTTCAAAAAAAAAAAAAAAAGTCCTCAAGGGGTGCCTGGGTGGCTCAGTGGGTTAAGGCCTCTGCCTTCAGCTCTGGTCATGATCCCAGGATTCTGGGATCAAGTCCCGCATTGGGCTCTCTGCTTAGCAGGAAGCCTGCTTCCTCCTCTCTCGCTCTACCTGCCTCTCTGCCTACTGGTGATCTCTGTCAAATAAATAAATATAATCCTTAAAAAAAAAAGAAAAAAAAAGTCCTCAAGAATACCAAGCTCTAATTAAATGGATTTTTTTGAAACCGAACAAGATTCAATCACCAAACCAACAAACATAACAATATGACATTTCTCCAATCTTTTGGCACTATGCACATCCCTAAGACGTGGAGGATATTCATATTTACATTAAGCTCAATTATTTAAAATCTGATTGTATTAGTGTTCCAGACTGTTACAAACTGTTGTGTACCTACTAGCCAGCTGCTTTAATTCTGATTTTCAGAAAGAGCATGTTGTCTTTGTAAAAAGGCAATTATCTGTTAAGCCTATGATAACTTCACCCTGAAGTCTCTAGCAGAAACTAGTGCTTAAAACCATTATGATTGTTCTTACAGCCATTCAGACTTGGGGATCACAAAAGCACGTCATTGATAATGCTGGCAGACCAGCTCTCTGCCTGTTCCACTCACTATCCCAGTACTTCTTCATAGCCTCATTCTGTCCACTCAAGGACAAAGGCCTCACCATGGAGTGGATGAAACAGCTCAGCTGGGTTATTCCCAGTGCTTCTTTCCTTAAAACTTTTTATTGCTCTAAACTGCATGGATAGCAGACAAAAGGCTTTTGTACACTGGTGTCCAAAAAACTCATTTAAGACCAAATTTATTTCACCAGTATCCTAGACAGTGCTGGTTCCCTACTATAAATGTAGTTTCCTTCCAATTCCAGGCAATTTTCTCACCCATATTATGTCAACACTATCAATGGACATTTAAACAGTGAAATGACTCATTTTACTTTAAAAATAGTGTCTCCTACTTCCAACTCATCACTTTTTAAAAATTCCATCCCTACCAGGCCACTACAATTTGACACATTACAGGTGAGTAACCCCTGAACCTTCCCCTCTTCTCCCAAAGCAGCAGGTTGGCAAAACAATTGTATTTAAAAAAGAAAGAAAAATAAACTTTCTTACTGGGAAAACACACACAAATACTAACATTTAGCACCCTGTCCTGAGCAGATTTTGATCATCAATTCTCCAGCTAAATATGACTGAACTTTAAGTGTAAGGATTAGTAAACAGACCTAATCTTCTTTTTAAATAGTTAGGTCGGCTGCTTTGTCCTAGCAAGGTTTCTGAGCTATTCATCTCCCATGCAGAAACAGAAAACCAATCCAGTGGTCTCCCCATATACATTTCAAATAAATCCTCTCCGGTTACATGAGTGAATTTCATCATCGGACTCTTAGATGTCAGCGCAACACAATTTAACACATGCCGTAAAACACGGTTGCCTAGCCTTAGTATAACCATTCCTATTCACAGGGAGACAGATGTGGGCTGAATAAAGTTGCTTAAGAATATGTAAATAAAGCCATCCCAAGCATTGGTCAGGCTGTGCCATTTTGACAAGACGTTGTATGTGGCCAACTGCTACTAACTGGTGCAGTACAACGGCTTTTCCACCACTCCTTCGTGATTCTGGGAGTCAGACCTCTCCGCAGTACTACTAGCATTTACATCCTAATTCCAGAGGGAGCTCTTGGCCAAGGCTTCAAAACAAAGACCACGATAAGCGTTTTTAATTTTAAAGAATTTTAATACAAACTTAATATAAACTATTTCAGTCCCTCTTAACATGTAAGACACTGACTCAAAATACTTTTATACCGTTTTTTTCAAGTATTGCACAATATAGGTACAAAATTAATATTTACGATTACATTTTCTTCCATAATATATAGCAAAAATCTTTTAAACCTTTAACAGAAAATACATTTTTTTGAAAAAGCAAATATTCGTACATTTTAATTCCACCACTAAAGGAATATCCTGTACACAATTTTGAGAATAGTTGATGTCTTTAAGATGGATATTTTACAATTTCAGTAAAAAAAATACATGAAGCTGCTGCTGTCACAGGTCACTGTAGTAAAAAGATAGAAATGCAATACCGTGTCGTAGAAACAATATATATATCCTCTGATATTTTACAAACTTTGTACTAAATTAAATTATACAATTAGAAAAGACCAATAAACCCACTTATTAGTGCCAATTTTTTATAAAAAAAAAATCAGCCATGTCCTTGCTATATCTTAAATACTGTAAGAGGCCATATCTGAGAGTATACTTTAAAATATACAGTCAGTATAAAATAACTTTGTGCTTGGTTGGCAAATGAAAAATGATGCAGGTTTTATTTTTGTAACCAAGCTTGAATGTATCCTTACTATAAGCTTTAAAAAAAAAAAAAAAAAAAAAAAAAATCTCAAGGAGGTGAAAAAAAAATCCCCCTTGGGCCCGTGCATTTTAACTTGTAGGATTCTTTTTTTTTTTCTTTTCCTTTTTTAGTTAGCCATGACAGGCTGGAATTGCTGGTTAGAATACTGCATGTTATTTAAGCTAAAATTCAAGCCATCTACAAAAGACTTCTCGTTGAGGCCTCCATAGGCCGCAAACACATCAAAGGCATTACTGTACTGGAGAGGACTGAGGTTAAGGGGGCTGTCACCTGGGAACATTCCATTGGTACTACTACCTTGACCCTGCATGTTAGGAAAAATAAATTCCTTGGCATTGGGAGAAAGAGCAGAGGCTTTCTGCTGCGGCTGCGGCTGCGGCGGCGGTGGCGGCGGTGGCGGCTGGGAAGGCTGCTGCTGCTGCTGGGGCTGCTGCTGGCTGCCCAGGCCGAGCCCGTACAGAGAGTGCATTGAGGAAGAGATGGCTTTCTGCTTCAAGAGGTCATTCACATTCAAGCCGAGGTTGATAGGAGAAGTACGTGCAACCTTGTTGCTGCGGCCACTATTCTTCATTTTGGTAGAGCCGAACTTGGTGGCAGCGAAAGTGGCAGTGGTAAAGGTTAAAGGCTGAGTGGACCGGGGCATGAAGGTAGGGCTTACAGCAGCAGAGTGACCAAAGGGAGGCGACGGAGAGCTGGACACTGATGAGGCTGGGTCACTGATGGGCATAAAAACCTGGGCCTCTGGGTTAAAGCTGTTTTTGATCTCCTTATCCAACTCACATCCATTTTCATTATTATCATCCACATAAAGCACCTTCACTGGTCCCTTTTCACCAATTTGGTAGGAAACCTCAAATGGGTCGATCCAAACACTAAGATCCTGTGGCAGATTGCCACGAACATCATCAATGTCCAAACCACTCTCTTTGGATGCTTGTTCAATCACTGGGTCCACTTTCTCCCCTATGTGTATACATCTAAACCCTGATCCTTTGTATGGCTTTTCAGGATACCAGTGCCCTTCATATTTCTTCTTAAGAAGTCTTTCAAGCTCTTCACCAAAAATGTTGACACGTCTCCTGGGAAGCTTATTGTACAAATATGAAATAATAAAATTTAGTGCTACTTGGATTTCAAGCTGCATAGCTGCTATGCCACAAAGTGAGGTTTGTGTTTCAACTTCCCCCCACACACGCACACAAAAGTGTTCAGTTTGTGGCAGAGAAACAAATTTTCATTCAAAGTGCTGGTACTTTGTAGATTATCCTTCACCTTCAGTGGTCTTGCTCCTTAAAGAAAAACAAAACAAAACAAAAACAAACATGTCCAAATAAAAGAAATCTAAGTCCCACAACCTCTTCTTACCCCTAGAGTAATTTTACTTTTGAAAAAGTCTAATAGGCTGAAAGTCAGAAAAATATAATCAGCACAAAATAAAGGAACATACAATAGAAAATTGTTTATTAAAGTTCAAAATCTCACAGGACAATTTAGGATTTACAGTTAAAACAATGTATTTAAAATCCTATTATTTACTTCTTTTTTTCTGAATACAACTCTAAAATATACATAGATATAGATATATACCTGTATCTATATATCTCCAGCATATGAAGTGTGTTTCTTTCCTCAGTTCTCAAAAGAATATTTATTGGAAACTCTACTCCGCACACCCATCCACCCACCTCCACACACATATATACCAGTTTTAGAAAGCGATCATATTCCTATTCACTAATTTAGAAGTGAATTCTGTATTTCAGTTCATCCTGGATATATGCTCCTTAGATCTGCTCTATCATTAAACGTTCAGACACTGGAGAAGTTAGGAAAATTAATTTCCGAAGTACATGATGCTAAAATTAAAAATACTAAATGCTAAATGAATTGCCATCCTAGTGAAGGATAATTATGAACCAAATTATCCTACATAGCTGCCGCCTTAAATACACTAAGGGCATACAATGTAATAATCGAGCTTCTCTCTTTTTTCAGTGTGTATTTTTCAAAATCAGAAAATACCTCTTTGGCAGCAAATGTAACAAAGGCAGCAATTAATTTCAAAACTCTATTGATTATTCTCTTTAAAGGCCAGGGTTTCTGAGTTCTATTCTGATTTTCAAAACCACCTCCCTCCTTCACGATAAGAGGACCGCTGGAGAGGCTTCTACGATAAGGTCGACCTTTAAACGTTTGCTGGATCAGCACTGGGTGGGGATAAGAAAAGATCAAGGGCAAACAGAAGATATTTGCAAAAGGGATCTATTTGTACACTGAGGTTGATTTACAAGGACGTTTTAAAAATCAAGTTGGTATTAATCCATCTGTTCCATTTTCCATATTCGTGGTGACAAAGGGAAAAGGATCCCTGGCTGCCCTCAAACTACACTTTGCAAGCCAGAAGCCTGAGCGCCGGCAGAGGCAGCTGATTAAGCCAAAACGCTTGACGGTGCAACCGAGCGAAATTCAGGCTCCGCCGAAGGTAGTTTTAAAGCAACGCCTTAAGACAGGAGTGTGAAGAATTACATAAACAGCCAGTTGGGTCTCATTAGATTTCTGCTCACAGCCCTCGGAGCCCAAGCGCTGGAGCAGCAGCAGCAAGAGGAGGAGAGGAGGAGGAGGAGGAGAAGGAGAGGAGAGTACAAATCTCCTCCAAAAAGAGGGAGGAGGAAGGCCACGAGAAATGGCAAAGCAACTACTCGGGGCCGGGCACCGGGCAGGTCGCGGCGCCCGCCGCTCCGGGTCAGCCGCTCCCCTCCCCCCGCCGTAACCTGACCCGCCGCTCCCGCGCCCGCCCCCCCCGCCCGAGGCTCCTGGGACCCGGCCAGAGCCCGGGGAGCACCGGCTCCCCCGCACCCTTTTCAGTCCCGGCGGCCACCAGCCCCGCGGACCCCGCGGTCCCCCTCGAGCTCGCCGCTCCTCCCCGGCGCCCCGACCCCCGGTTCCCGGTCAGCTCGGCCAGGGCCGCCCTTCCCCGTTTACCCTCCCGGCCCCGGCCGAGCCCGACGCGCCGGCCGGCCCCGCCTCCAGGTCCCGAGCGCGCTGGGGCCCCTCGGAGCCGCTCCCCTCGGAGCCGCTCCTCTCTGCGCTCGGGCCGCGAATCCGCCGTCCCCGAGGGCCCGGGGCTCGACGCCGCCGGAGCCCCTCGGTCCCCGGACCCCGCCCGCCGCCCCTCTATACTTACGGGCTGCTTCCACCACAGAGCCGGCCGCGGGGCGGGGGAGAAGGGGCGGCAGGGCGGGGGCTCGGGAGGATCGGCAGCGGCCAGCACACTGAATGCAAGACGGCGTCGCCGGGCGGAGGGCGGGGGCCTCGGCGCGGGCCTCGGGAACTCGCCCCCTGTGGCTCGGGGTGACGGGGACAGGTCAGGCGAGCGCGCTCACTTCTCCACACAGCCCGGTGCCCTGCCCAGCATCCCCGTAGTATGAACACTGCGCGCCGGGCCAGAGCTTCGCTCCTTCTACTGCGGCGCGTGCCCCGCCTCTCGTTTTATAGTCTCCTCCCCGCCCCCATCCCCTCCCGTAGGGGTGCGCGCGCGCCCGCCTCGCGTCACACAGCTCGGGGCCGCGTAACCATTCCCCGCGCTCCCGCCCCTCACCCCAGACCCTCCGCGGCGGCTCCGCCCCTGCCCTGCCCCTCGACGCCATTGGTCAGGTCCCGCCTGCCCACGTCCCGACGGGCGGCGGAGGGCTCCGTACGTAAGGCCACACCCCTCGGGGTCCACAACGGCCAATGAACCGACGACCTGGAGGCACTGTGGGCGGGACTAAGAGAAAACTAGGAAAGGGACTGGAGGAGAGAAGTGCCAGTGAGGGCGACGGTGGTGGGTGGGGCGGCTGACGCTTGGTCTTGGAGGAGAGCCCCCGAGAGAAGGGGGGAGGGGAGCGAGGCAGGTGGAGGAACGGCGGGGAACAACGGGGAGAAGAGCCCGAGGCCTCGAGAGGGAGGGGACGGTTTACAAAAAATGCCCTACCCGAGTGGGACTGTGGCCCAGGAAAATCCCACTCGTGGACGAGCTACCAAATTGGCCTCCAGTGCCCCCGGGAGAGCCTAGAGAAAGGGCGAACTCTGTGACAGGGACTCGAGCACCCGGTTAACTGAATATTAATCACCTCCGGGGCCTAGGCCAACTGCCACCCAGAGAGTGGCAACAGCAGAACCCAAAGCGGCCGTGCTAGGCTGGGGGTGGGGAAGGGAGTCCACCTGGCCACACCTCCCGCCTAGGTGACAGTTTAACTGCCTCCGCATCCCACATCACAACCTCCCCGTGCGACCCGGCAGCAACTTGGACGTGGGAGTGGCCTGAGACTGTAAGAAGAACCACATTTTGTTCCCAATGTCCCAGCCTAGGCCTCCGTGCCAAACTGCGTACGTATCTAAGTGTATATATACATGCGTGTATTTCAAGTGTCCTTTAACATCAATACACACAATACACACGGTGCCTTCCTGTAAGGTGCGTTTAGGATGCTCTTCGGTTGAACTACAAGCGGGTAAATAGGGAGCGCGGAACGAGAGGGACCCAAGGGAGGCCGGTAAGCGCCCCTTTTCACAACCTGTGGCGGAGAAATACACGAAGTTGCATGGGCGTGGAACCGAGCGTCCCTCTCTGCTAAAAATATTGCTCACAGGTAGCAACGACGCCTGATTGGCCGCGCTTCTCCCTTAGCAGCTAGGCGATTGGCTGTCTGGTATCCAGGAGACCGACGTCAAACTCGCTAGGGGAAAGGGGAGAGAAAGTCTAAGGGGAGGGAAGGGTGGAAGGGGAGAGAGAGAGGAGCAATGAATGAAACGCCCAGCGCTGGCCTTCTCCTCCCTTTGCTCTGCACTCCAGAAGTGCTTCCTGGAAAAACACCAGTTGGGGCTCCGCCTTCCTCTAAGAACTGTGGGGCCTGCACTCTCAACCTGCTATAAGGAAGTTAAAGCGCAACTCCCCGCGGAGTAGGGTGTCCGCGGAGCCGGCTGTGTAGACCAGCTGTGCTCCTTGCACACGCACCCGCTGTAGGTGTTAGGCCTAGAGGCTTTGCGCTTTAGGGATGCAAGATCCGATCGTAGCCTTTTTCTCCACCCTCTCATGCCCTCGTGCCTCCGCCCCCACCCCGTTCCCCTTTAGAAGGAACCCAATCAATAGAGGATATATCTAAAGTCCCGGTTGTGTGCGGGAGGAGGAGGGAAGGGTGTGTGCGATGGGTTGAGGGTGGGAGTGGTCAGGTGGCCGATTTCGTGTTTATTGCACGGATTCCTAAAGCTCAGATGGCGTGTTTTAAGAACATTCAAGTTTTACTCAAAGACTCCTTAAATTCCGATTTTTTAGTCTTTGGATTTTTTTGTAACAAGGAAAAGTGGAATTTGATTGCGAAAGTGTGGATGTTTTATTTTATTTTTGGAAACATTTTAAGTTAAATGTTTCTCTGCATCAAGATATATTCTTACAGTGTTTACTACTTTTTGCTCAGTTGTATTTTTTTTGTTTTCTAAAATGAATATCCACTCCATTTGTTATTAAAAAATGAGTTATTTTTAATTTTATAATTAGTTGAGGGCAGAAATTACAAGAAGAAAGATAGGATATTTTGGGAATGGCCTATCAAGAGAAACATTTCATCTTTCCTGTGCCCCAAGGCATAATTTCTCTTACCATTAGGCAAATAATATTTGCTGTACCAAACACCCAGCATTGCAGGACCTTGTGTCTGGCCATGTGTCTTGATATGTAATTTGGAAAGTATATCACTATAATTAGAGGAGTATATTAGGCTCAGCTGAGATTAAAATGTCTAACCAAAGATAGATGAATTGTAATTTTGTCAACCTTATCTATACTTTCCACAAATTCTCAAAGGGAAGGCACAAATTCTTTTTTCTGAACGTCCCCAATCTATAATCTCAGGCTTAAAATTCAAGAGCAGACATCTGATAGGTTCTGATTAATTAGCGATAGCGGTAAATTGAATTTAAAAAAAAAAATTTAGACGCCAAAAAGGTATGAGTTATTGCAGCTTAGTCCAAGGGTATGAGAATGTTTCAAAACAAATATGAACACACACACACACACACACACACACACACACATTGAGGCCCCATGTCATCTGAAGGGCAGGTGTTGGGAGATCTGAATTTTATCCATTTCTATCAACCTTCAGTTCTCTCACCTACAAAAAGGGGTTGGATTATATAATCTCTAATATCTCTTTCAATTAAAAAATTCCACGTTTAAAACTCAGTGCCCCTAAGGTAAACAATGTAGTTGTTTTAAAGATATAGATTGTAAATAAGAGGGAAACCAGATTCATATACTTCCAAGTCACAAGGGATAAAACTCCCTTTATCCAAGTTTTACACTTTAAAGACCCCCTTGTATGACTTGTTACTATTTCACATTTACTTTGAAATTGCACAGGGGATTGGATTGCCAAATGATTATTTTGATTTATGGAGGGAAAAAAAAGCATTGATATGAGGGTCTGGGTGGTATCACAACAATAGGAATTCCTCTCTGTGGGCAAGTAATAGTCACTGAAAATCACAGCCTTTGCCTTTCCCTGCCTGTGTTCCACACAATTAATTCCTAGAGCAGTGCCTCACACTGAAGCTTAGGATTCTTTGGTAAACAAATGTGTTTCAATATCATTGTGAAACACGGTTCTTGAAAGTGCTCTGAATTATTATCTCATTCACACATAAACACACACACACACTCACACCTGGATTTCTGACAAATGTGTCCTAAACCTAAACCTAAACCTTCGAATTTTCATTCTGTTTCTTTGTAAACTGAGGATTACAGGAGAGTCACCATCACCTAATGTGTCCTTACTAAGGGTTGTTTCACTTCTAGAGAATCAGCCTTGTATCTTTACTTGAAAGACGACATAACAAGCATAATGTTTTTGTCATTAATGTCACTGATTTTCTTGTGGACAGTCATGTAACCTGAACTATACAAAATTTTAAATTATTGGCAAGGAACAATTATAAACTAATCACTGACTTATTAAAAACCAAGTAAGCCCACTTTTCCCTAAACATTTTTCAAAGAAAGTTGCACATTTATGACTAATGGAACCTCAGTGTGGTTTCCTATGGCTTCTCATAGGGGTTAGTGGAGGAGGGCCACACATTCTCTAAGAGATGGGTACACAGATATTTGGAATTGAAAAATAACTAGATAACCCTGAACAAACCCACTTATCTTTGGAACAAGCATTTCCACTGAAGGAATTGGTCGGATAGGAGAACATATCCTTATAACTTGCTTACTCCCTATTATCTTTTTTTTTTAACTCCCTATTATCTCAGTGAACAAAAATCCAAGCCAAATCTTTGAATTTCTTTCCATTAGCCAAGGAGGAAGAGATTGTAATTGCAGATTCTGGGAGTGATACAGTGTTCGCAACAGTCTGCACACCAAGAACATTAATTGATTTACATTGATTAATAATATCAGAATGCTTTAGCTATATGAATTCTAGATCTCACCTATTGTGCACTATGTTAAGAAAAACTGAAAGTGCTCTATTGTAATAATACATAAACTTAAAGCATAGATTGCATCTGTTACGCAGCTCTGCTTACTCAAATGAATTACATACACCAAATTCTAGTTTATACAATAGATACACGGTCCAGAAATATATATATGGTATTTGAGAAAGAAAATACACGCTCACACCCACGTACACACACACCGACCCATGCACAGAACCGTAAGAGCCAACTCCATGTTTTCCCAGCCTTCACTGCAGCAGGGTGACATTGCGACACTGCTGTACCAACGTGACGTAAACAGACGTTAGCCGGGATGGTTTCTGAGAAAAAGCTTTGCTCTTCTTATCAAAGGAACTTATTCCAGTTGCTACTGCTACATAACACACTATCCAAAACTTAGTAGCATCAAACACCCATTTGATTGTGTTCTGGGATCCTATAGGTCAGGAATTCAGACAGGGTACAGGGAACAGATGGCTTTTCTATGCCCCACAACATCTGGAGCTTCAGCCAGCGGGGCGGGGGGGGGGGGGGGCTCAAGCACTCAAGAATCATCTGGAGCAGATGTGTCTAATGGAACTTTCTCTAATGATAGAAACTTGCTGTACCTATATTGTCCAATAGGATAGCCACGAGTCACATGTGACTATTGAGCCCTTAAAAGGTGGCCAGGGTGACTGAGGAACTAACGTTCTCATTTAATTTTAATTAAATGTAAATTGAAATAACCACAGGTGGCCAGTGGCTCCTGAGTTGAACAGCATGAATCTGGAGGCGTTTTCGCTTAATCTGTCTAGCACCTGGGCTGCGAGATGACCAAAGGCTGGGCTCAGTTGGCACTGTCCACTGGAACATCTGCAAATGGCCTCTGAACTCTCCCTGTGGCTTGGGCTTCTCACAGCGTGGCAGTTGGTTCTGAGAGGAGGCATCCCAAGGGGGAGTGCGGTCTCTGAAGAGCAAACATTCTAAGAGAAGGACATGAAAGGTCCATGGCCTTTTATTGACCAAGCCTTGGAAGTCACAAAGCACCACTACTGCCATATCCATTGGTGGAAGTAATCATAAGCCTATCTAAAGTCAAGAGGAAATCACAGAGACACCCCCTCCCCACCTCTAAAGGGAGGAATGTCAATGAATTTTGCACCAGTATAAAAAATCACCACTGGGAAATTTTCACCTTTATTTCTGCCTTAACATGAATCTGGTAGCAGGAGGTACAGCTGCCTTTTTAGCACCAGGAAGATGATGCAAGATAATCACAGAGATATAGGCTCTGACCAAAGCTAGTGACTACCTAGCTCTACTCTACTTTTTAACCCACATGAAATGTCCATGACTTACAGCTGAACATATACTCATCAAAAATACTGATTTAACATCTTTTAAGGAAACCTGAACTTGATTCTTAAAAAAAAAAAAAAAAAAAAAATTATCTAGTCTGAGTATTATCTAGACTTTCTCCTTATAAAACCTGGAGGGGTGTCTGGGTGGCTTATTTGGTTAAGCATCCACCTCTTTTTTTTTTTTTTTTTTAAGATTTTATTTATTTACTTGACACAGAGAGATCACAAGTAGGCAGAGAGGCAGGCAGAGAGAGAGAGAAGCAGGCTCTCTGCTGAGGAGAGCCCGATGTGGGGCTCAATCCCAGGACCCTGAGATCATGACCTGAGCCAAAGGTAGAGGCTTAACCCACTGAGCCACCCAGGTGCCCCATTGGTTAAGCATCCAACTCTTGATCCCAGCTCAGGTCTTGATCTCAGGGTCATGAGTTCAAGCCCTGCACTGGACTCCATGCTGGGCATGGAGCATACTTGAACAAACAAACAAAAAAATGGTCATTGTAGAAAATTTGGAAAACACAGATAAAGAAAATAGCAATCACCTTTCATCTCACCATGCAGTGATGATAACC